GGAGGCCACCAGGACTCCTATGACTCCTCTGAAGGAGTTTCCAGCTCCAGCAGCTCAGATGGAGAGACTGTTCATACAACTGTTGTCTGTTCTTCACCATCAGAGCTTTATGAGAGACAAAGAGAAAAACTCTGATGGAAAAAGTTCATATTAAATCTGCACTAGAATTCACCAGAAGACATGTGGAGACTCTGAAGTCACCTGGAAGAAGGTTCTTTGGTCTGAGGAGTCCAAAATGGAGCTTTTAGTCCATCAGACTAGATGTTATGTTTGGCAGAGACCAAACTCTGGACATCATCACAAACACACCGTCCCCACTACAAAGCACGGTGGTGGCAGCATCATGACGTTTTCCATCAAGTCAATGAGCCAAAGCTCCACAGAAACGGTTTAAAGACAACCAGGTGAAGTTCTGGAGGCCCAGTCGGAGTCCAGACCTCAGTCCAACTGAGAGAACTTCCACGGAGGCTGAATACTTTTTACACTCCGACTACAACCCAACAGAAACTCACCCTGGACTCAAAGCACGTCGAGCCACCGTTGGAGGTCGACACTTTCATCTGGCTCCTCCCCCTCTCAGAGTCCTTGTCTCCGAGGCCGACCGCCGAGGACGGCCGGCTGTGCGACGACATGGACGGTCGGTTCTCCGAAGACGAGCGGTTCCTGGTCAGCGAGGAGCTCTTCTCCTTCTGGTACTCGATGGGAGACTGCAGCGCTGCGACCACACGGAGGGAAGGTAGCGTTAGAGACCATCTGGTCTGGTTTGGTCTGAGTCACAAGGCTGTTGTTGTTTCTATGTCTGACTGGTGTCACTTTCTGGTGTTCTGGTGGGTCTTTGTTGTCGTTGTGTCTCAGTTTTCAATGGTTGTGCATCTGTTTGTGTTTGTTTTGCATCTCGTTGTGTTTGTTTTGCATCTCGTTGTGTTCAGTTCTGTGTCTCTGGAGCTGATTTGCATCTCTGGTGTCGGTTCGTTTGGAGTCGACTCAGATGAATTAAACGTTAAACAAGTTGTTGATTTTGTGGGTCTTTGTTGTTATTTCGTCTCTTTGTGGTTGTTTTTGTTCCACTTCCTTTGTTGTTGCGTCTCTTTGTGACACTTCTTCCTGTTCTCGGTGGTTTTGTGTCTCATGTTGTGAATCCTGAGTGAACGGACCCCAGAGAGCACACCGGGTCCGTCCAGGTGTTGCTGGTTTGTGCGTTCTCACCTGACAGGAAGTTGCTCTGGGCGTCCAGAACCTCCTGGATGTGTCGGACCCAGACCTGCTTGATGTCGACGTTGGCGGCCTGCAGCGTGAAGCGCTCTGACGAACCGCGAGACGACAGGACGAACTTACAGGGGTCGTTGTCCACGCTGTCCTCCAGGCCCAGGTAGGACACCTGCACAGGTGAGCCCAGTGTCAGTACAGGTGTAGAACTAGGAGCCACCATCACCTGCTGTCCTCACACCGTGGTGAGCTCAGGTTCATTAAATCACACATTCACAGCAGGAGGATGTTACGACAGATTTGATCAGTTTGTGTTCAGCTGGTCAGAGTTTTCTTTTTTTGTCTGGTTTGTGTAATTTTGTCTTTCATTCCTGTTTTCCTGATTTTTTATACATTTTTCTGTATTTACTTCCACTTGTGTTGTTTTTTGTTCCTTTGTTTCTAATTCTGTGTCTCGATTTTAAATTTTGTCACATTTTTCTTATTTTATGTTGAATTTTTCCATTTTTGCGCCTCATTTGTCACATTTTGTTTCTCGTTTTTGCTCATTTTGTCTAATTATTTTGTGTTTCTTGTTTTTCCTTTTCTCTTATTTTCCCCTTTTTTCCGTCTATTTCTTTTTTCAGTTTCATTCCTTGTTTTTCTCATTTTGTGTCCAGTTTTTTAATACTTTTTTTTTCTTGCTGTTGGTGTTTTGTGTCTAGTTTTTGTCACGTCAGACATTCATGGACTAGTTACTCAGAGAGTTGAGAACCTGACCATTCGTTCTGTTTTCTAGTTTCTGGGGGAACTTTTGGTGATTCTCTGGAAGCCTTCAGGAGGTCCGTACCTTGATGCTCTTCTTGAACTGGTACCCCGGTGTGGACGAACCTTTCCTCAGCAGCTCGCTGAAGATGACGATCTGCTCGAAGAGGAAAACCCGGCGCTCCTTGGACCTGGACAGGACGCCGGCGTCCTGCTCCGTCACGAAGAAGGTTTCCTGCTGCAGCAGCTTGCCCTGACTGGTCAGCTTGCCCTGCGAACACACATGAACACAAGTCAGCGGTCGGTCCTCGCGCCTCAAACGCCCGCCGAGCTCCGGACGTACCTCGTATCCCTGCAGCCGGCCCAGGTTCATCATGTCGTTGCACAGTTTGGGGACCTGAGACATCAAATCGACGGCTTTCTGCAAGAGAAGGACGAACATGATTCAGCTCAGGCAGCTGCAGCCAGATGTTCAGACGTCGTCCGACCAGGTTGGAACTCTCAGAAACCGTCTGTTGAAAGAGGACTCGGTCCGTTGTAGATCTGTGGGAACCTCAGGAGGCTCAGACCCAACAAACCGAACCATTCCAACATTTCTATCCTGCAGTAAACTGTCAACACAGCGTTCTAGATTTAAAACGTGTTTGTTTTGTGTCTTATTTCTCGTGTCCTTCTTCTTACTTTGTGTTTCCATTTCCTCACTTTCTGTCTTATTTCTCTAACTGTGCACTTCCCTCATTCTGTGTCTCGTTTGTCTCATGTTGTCTTCTGGTCGGACTGTTTAGAACAAACCAGCAGCAGACGTTTGTTATGTTCCAGATTCGTTCGTCTTTAACGGGTTGAATGTGGATTAAGGAGATCTGGTTTGACGACCGTAAAAACATTTCATTCTGATCCGGATGAAACTTCCCCAACAGCTGGATTTCAGATACTTAAAAGGTGAAAAGTGTTGGATGAGTTTTACCTCAATCTGCTCACAGTCCATCCCGGCCTTGGAGCTGTACTTCAGGAAGTCCTGATGGAGACAAACATGAGCTGAACTGACGATTTAAAGTGCAAAAAAAAAACAACACATGAAAATGACAAAACGTCGGTCAAAGCTGCTTATAGTAGAGCCGCTGAAGGTTCATTCCTGAGCGCTACCTTCAGCAGAAGCTGGTATTTTGTGATTCTCTGGATGGGTTTGATGAGAAAGTCACTGATGGTCAACCTGGACTGGATGTCCTGCTGGATCCCCTGAAACAGCAAAAAGACGACGTGAAGAAGACGAAGCGACAGCGTTGGAGGTCTGAGGACGTCTGGAGACTCATTCAGCAGAAACACAGACTGAGATGCTGACTTACGTCGAAGTACGTGTCGTATTCGGCTACGATGAACTCGGACTTTGGTTTGTTCTGACAGTAAACCACGTACATGTGGAGCCTCCTCTCCTGGAACACAAGCAGCACAGATTTAGATCAGAGGGAGAGATCCTTCATCATCCTCATCATCATCATCCTCATCCTCAGACTCACGTGTTTGATGAAGAGTTCAGGAAGATGTTCGTGGTCTTCCAGACATTTCTCCAGCTCGCCGACGAAGAAGCTGAGAAACAGAAGAAGAAATTAGTCAGAATTTATGACCATCTCAGCCGTTCCTCTCAATTTCCTTCACTGTAGCCCCATTTTTCACCAGTTCAGGCTCACTTTTCATCACTATAGCCCAATTTTTGCTCACTTTAGGCTAATTTTTCACCATTTTAGGCTCATTTTTCATCACTTTAGGCCAAATTTGCATTGCTTTAGTCCTATTCTTCATCACTTTAATTATTTTCATGATTTTAGGCTAATTTTTGCTGA